TTTTTTTTGCCAAATCAGCTGTTTTTAGCTGGTGTTTTGCCAAATCAGCTGTTTTTAGCTGGCTTTTTGCTAAATCAGCTGGTTTTAGTTGGTTTTTATTTTATTTATTAAATAATAATTGTTTTTTTATTTACTTATTTTATGCCTCCACTTATGCTGAGCGCACTTCACAGTAACATGGTGCGAAGTTATACATTCCCCAAAGTGTCAGCTTACGCTGTACTCAACGTCAAGAGACCCTCTCGAAAGGAAACATCTCTGGTCACTGATGTAACCTCGGTTGCCTGAGTAGGGAACGAGACGTTGCATTCAAGCTGTGTTAGTTATGCTCAGGTCTTTCATAAGTTCTCTTATTCAGTAGAAATCTTCTGGTAAAATGCCACTCATTGCTTATATATGGCACTTTCCTGTCCCCTTGCAATGTAATAGCGTTAAGGGAATAAGACTTTGGTCTTTCCCCAAAGCGTCTTCTTATGCTGTACACAATGTCTTGTTCCCATCTCAGGGAACCAAGGTTACATCAGTAACCGGATAACTTTTTTGTTTTGGTTCCTCTTTTAGTGATCGCTATAACCCCTTAATCATTGCCTGTGTTGTATAGCATGTACATGAATGTGGAGGCGGAGGCATCAAGATAGGGGTGTGATCCTTTTGGGTAGGGCCATGTTTGTTTTGGTCATTTCAAATATCAACAGCGTTTTCCAGAGATTACTTACTGCACCTTTAAATGTAGGCCTGTTAAAGTATTTAAAACAATATATTCAGTGTTCATTGACAAATATGAATGAAACACTTTGGGAAATATTTTTAAATGCTTTTATTTTTACAGGTTTTTAACCTCCAAAACAAAGAAAAACTGATGGATTGCAGATTTGGAGGCTGTATGTGATTACGTATCAGATTTAGTTGCTATTCATGGTGTCGGCGATCCATTGGCTGAACATACAGACCTTGAAGAAAAGACCATTCATAAAAATCAAATAAGTGCTTAATTTTAAACCAAACACATTGTAACAATTATTAAACAACAACAACAACTACTATATTACCTTGCCATAGACACCAGGATGATTCTTCTCAGCACAGCCATAACCCCAGGACACAATACCCTGCAGCACATTGTTGCACACCACAGGACCACCAGAGTCACCCTGAAGAACAGAAACATAACAAATTATTATTATTAAGATTGTCTCATATAATGTTCATGCAACAATTCTATTTCTTGTCATCCTCTACCTGACAAGAGTCCTTTCCTCCCTCCAGGTATCCAGCACAGAACATGGTATCTGTGATCATACCAGGGTAGGAGTTGTTGCAGTCGCTGTCGGACAGGATGGGGATCTCCAGACACTGAAGCTTGTTGGAATCAGCAGCTGCAAAGAATTGAATACAACAGCAGCAGAGATGGAGTGAACCAAAGTGCTATGAACATGTAGTGTAAAGAAGTGGCATCATGAATCCTGACACTTACTGGAACTCATGGTGTCTCCCCAGCCAGTGACACTGCACATGGTGCCAGCGGCGGCACAGCCATTGGGCAGGGCCACAGGCTGCACATACTGATTGAGGGTTGCGGGATTGCTAAGCTTGATCAGCATGATGTCACTGTCAATTGTCCAGGAGTCATAGTTGGGATGGCGGATGACCTTCTCAGAGGAGATGAACTGCTCAGAACCCTCATCAACTTCGATGTTGTGCTCACCCAAACGGACCTCCACACGTCTGAAAGACCAAGTCAAATACTGTTCAGATCTGAGGAAACCAATGGACTGATACATGAACTACTTTATGAAGACATCACTTACGACTTGTAGCAGTGAGCAGCAGACACAACCCAGTACTCGCTGACCAGAGAGCCACCACAAAAGTGGTAGCCAGAGTTCAGAGACACCTGCCAGGACTGGGAATGGGGTTTGCACTCATATCCACCAACAATCTTGTCATCATCCAGAGCAACTA